TGAAGCACTTTGCGACAGTGCCCCTTCCCTGACAGTTCCGAGACCCATGGCTGAATCACTGGCACTTAAAGCACTGTTGAGAGCTCGGCAGATAAGGTCGGACCTGGCACTGAAGGTAACCTGCCTTTGCAGTCTGCGGCAGAGTGGTAGAATCGAAAGTCAAAATGATGTGTTTTGTCTTCTGTTCCACAGTGTCGCGGCGGATAGTGATCCATCGTGCAGATATAACTCCTTGACTGTTATCTCTGGCTCAGATGAGTCAAGTAAGTCATCCTCAGAAATTACCCCTTGAACACTGCTCAGTTTGCGGTGAGGACCGACGCTTACTTTGTAGTCGGAGATGAGGCCGAGTTTTCGAAAGGCATCACTTTGCTGCTTTGTGTTGACCTCGACAAGGAGATCATTGGATTGCTTCTTCTTTACACTGTAATTGGCGCAAATAACACCCTCAAGAATTTTGGAGACCAGAAAGGGGGAAAGTTTGGCAAGTGGCTTGTCACCCTCTGAGTGCAATACAAGACACTTCGGGAATTTCTGCAGTTCAAAAGGTTGTTTCACTGTGTTGAGTGCTTTGGTGTGGACCCTTTCAGAGGCCGATGAAAAAAATGTCTTGTTATGCGGACCCATAAGAGACGGGAGGAAAGTTCAAAGCCCGGGTGCATTTCCCACCACGGAGCCCAACAAGGGGGTAGGCGATGTGCCATAGCAAGAAGGGCTTGGCTGACACAATTACTCTACCAGTGCTGCCTGGGCACTATACCCAAGTGTGGTTGCAGGGACAGGACCTGTTTCCACTCAAGGATGGCCCTTCCCACCTAAAAAGGTAAAAAAAAGGTGAAAAAGGAAAGAGAGTGTAGAAAAGAAAAAGAAAGTGGAAGGAAAAAGAAAAGAAGGAAGAAGAGAGTAGAAGAGGCAACTGACTGAATCATCCTGGTGAGGCCAAGCCAGTCTACGAGAAGCAGGGGCCGAAGGGGTATATGGCCTTGCTTGGGGGGGCCCCGAAGGTTCCAAACATACCCTGGGCTCAGCTCAACAACCAGGATCCCCCTTTCTCCGAACACGGGTTAAGCCACGCACAGCCAGGCATGGGTGGGCAAAATCACATGGCTCAGGGTTTGTACTGACGTCACTCAACAAGCACCTACTAAAGTAGATGCCCCCTGAGTGTGGGTATGGCGGCCCAGATGGCTGGGGTCCGTGGTGACGCCACTCACCAAGCGCCTAACACCTAAGGTGTAGGCACCTCCTGCAGGGGGGACGGACCATAAGTCGCTAACGTATGCCATCCGTAACTCCGGTTCCACTTACATGCCTCGAGAGATCCGGCAGCTCACATACTTGTCAGAGTTCAACACGGACATTCAGCTTGTACAAGGAAAGTTCAACGTCTTTGCTGATGTACGGTGCCAAATTGATGCTGTGTCTTCTTCAGCTCCACTAGTCGACATTACCTTGCTGGCTCACCATCAGGCCTCCAATGATGTTACAGCAGCTGCGCATGGCGAGCACATCCCTTCGACTCCAAGACGTCCAGTTTCCTGGAGACATAATCATTGTCTGCGACATATCAACAAGAACACATCACTCGTTTATTCCAGTTGCACTACGAAGGCAGCTTGTTGATGCCATTCATTCGCTAGCGCATCATGGAGTACAGACGACGCAGAAGCTGGTGGCTAGTCACGGCTGAAGTCAGATGTCGGAGACTGGGTGTGCACATGCCTAGAAAGTCAGTGAGCTAAAGTACATTGTCACCCCGTTCCTCCATGCAGGAGCTTCCTGCCTCCAGATGCCCGTTTCGGCAAAGTTCACCTTAAGCTTGACAAGCCCCTCCCAGCATCACAAGGGAGATGGTACAATTTGACTTGTATTGACTGCTATAGAAGATGGCCGGAAGCAACACCACTACCGAACTCAAGAGCAGCCACCGTAGCTGAAGCATTTGCGACTAGGTGGGTGGCACGCTTCGGATGCCCTTCAGAAACTATCACCAACAAATGGCAACAACTTGAGTCCGGCCTCTTCGCCGAGTTGACTCAGCTCTCGGGGCATAACAAGATCCCGGGCAACCGCTTACCATCCCCAGTCAAATGGCCTGGTCAAGCATTTCCGCTGTCATATGAAGTCTGCACTCATGGCCCATGCCAACTCAACCGAGTGGGTAAAGTGGCTCCTGCTCGTCTTGCTTGGAGTTAGAACAGCCCTGAAACAGGACCTCCAAACTGGTCTATGGAAAAACTCTACGGCTACCATCAGAATTTTTTGAGGTTGACCCCGCAACAATCTCACGGCTAAAGACTCTACAACACAAAGCTAAAGGACATCTTCAAGGATCTACGGCCAGTTCCTACGCGAGTAGTGTCGACCAAGACGCCGTATGTCACACAAGACCTCCAGAATGCGACACGTGTTTGTGCACCAAACACAACACCGAAAGGCACTGCAACCACACTATGTGGGACCATTTATGGTTCTCGAAAGGAAACCGAATGGTTTCGTTGTGCAGGTCAACAGGCATCCGGACACAATTTCTTTCTAGCAGCTGAAACCTGCCCATCTCGAACATTCACCCGTGAACCTTGCATCTTATGCAACAAACACTGAAAGAGACAGTCCTGAAAAAAAGTCGGCTGGCATCCAGTGGCAGCATTAACGCTAGAACTCGTTTCCAGTGTGTTTATGTTTGTTTTCTAACTTTAAGATCCCCATGTATTTTTGATCGCTCAAGCCTTATCCCTTGCTGTGGGGACCGACACACCCACAGATCGGTTAACAAAACAAAAATAAAAAAGAGGACTCGATGCGGGAGACACGCGCTGGCAAGAACATTTGAGCCATGGAGAAAGGCAAACAGATGTGTCCGTTGTCTTCACTGAATTAACAAGGTAGGATTTCCTCAATCCCCCAGAAGTGCTTTCTCTTCTAAATACCGAATGTGTCTCATTTCTTGCTTGTTTACTCTAGAAAAACACACGAAAGAAACGGTTTCATAATACAGATATCAAGTTAATATGGAAAGCTGCGTCCCCCCAAAGTCTCGATAATATAAGTCGTCCATAATAATGAGACAAAAATGTATGTATTTACCCAATTCGTTTCTGAAAATGCTGTCTATATAGCGGCCAGTATTCATATTTACGAAACAGTATGAGTATGAGTTCTGGCATCACGCAAAAGAACAATCTCAGCAGAGTACAGTCTAAGCTCATCATAACAGACCTGGTTTACAACAGACATTTGAATATAACATACCGATTTGTGAAGTTCGGTTGGTTTTCCTCTATGTATCATTGACTCAACTTCATATCTGCATACAACATACCCCTTGTACAGCAGACCGAAATCTTTGTCAAAATCAAGGTCTGTTATAACGAGCTTAGACTGAATATAAAAGTACGTAATCTATTCTATCTTAAATCACTTATATTTTTCATAGATTTTTAACTTAAGGTTGCTCGGCTTCGGTGCAGAAATTTCAGAGAGCGCTCACATGATCAAACATTTCGTTTCTAGGCATATATTTTTATTAAAGCTCATTCACAATCTAGAAAACAACTCCGATTTGTTTTGGAGAAATCGGCGATTATCGGTATCACAGCCTGGAATATCGGAACAACCAATTTATACAACTGTGATGCTGATGCATTAGAAGGAAAACATTCCAACACAATGTTGTTGCGAGATTCCTTGAAAAGGAACTCTCCAAAGCAAGTATTATTTAAGTGCCTGGATAATATCCACGAAATAAGAATAATATATTTAAAATAAAAAATATATATATACCGTAAAGTTCCGAGAGTATGCCCGCACCCGAGAGATTGCCTATCCCGTTTCGTTTTTCTGGCAAAACATCTGCAAGACAAAAATTCCGAAACAACGCCCCCCCACCCCGTCACGCGACGACTGACGGGAATCGCATCAACCACGCAATTTGCTGTACCGGCACATCTGACAAGCGAGTTCATAGTTAGTTCCTGCTTTTTTGTCCACGATCTGCATGCACGATATCGGCTCCCATAACAAGCGATCGAGTTGTTCCAGGATGTATGTTGCACCGTGAAACGTGAATCTGCTGCGTCCACAATATGCAGTACCCGTTACCATGACACAAAGTTTGCAGCGGACTGCGTTCTTGTCTGCGATCAGCGTGCGCAATCTCGATTTTACGCGAGGTGGTTCCGCATGCATATTGCACCATGAAATACCATTCTGCTGCCTTTGCGATCTGCAATATTTGTTCCAGTAACATCCCAGGAGAAAACATCCAGTTAATATACTAGCTGGTCCTAGTCCAGTCTAGTCCAAACCACGACCGTCCAAACGAAAGACGGCTGCACGCATCAATACAATAAATGTTAATCTGTTTAAGATGTTTTGAACGGACGCATGTGACCTACGAAGGCAATGGTGCTTAACTAAACCAGTAAGATGGTAGGCTCGAATGGCAAGGCCTTTTGTCTCAATCAATCAATAAATCATTTGTTCACTTTATGTCAAGTGATGCAGGCTTCGGGAACAAACAGTCTAAAACTATCACCCGACAAGAGCCCCAGAGCATTCAAATTAAAGTGCATGATAGCTCGAAAATTAGGAGGACATTTTCACTTTCGATCAATAGGCAGGCGCTCAATCCTCTCGAAACAGCACTTGCGTCAGCTTTTCCACGGCGCACTCGGAGGGCCGAGCAATATGGTCTACAGAAGGAACTGGGCGAATGATGAGGTCAAAAACATGTCTCGACATAAGCATTAGATCTGCAATGTGATACTAAGCATAAAATTACCACAAAAACCGGGTGTGCTCTCCACCGTATTGCAGGCTTCGTATCTTGGTCTATATATTCAACGTAAAACCTGTTTACTCCTCAAGCGACGTCTCTGCTTGTCCATGTAATTATTCGTTTACTTATCGCTGATGCCCACTAACAGCAACATGCCTTTTTGGTGGCACATGGCAACAGTTTTCCCCATTTAGATAAACAGGAAAGAACTCTGACTTACGTGATGCCGGGTGTCGAACTCAGCCACTGCTGCCTCCTGGTCAACACAGTGTGGCACGAAGAAGTCAAACGAATACTGGGGGTCCTTGCTACCAAGAACCACTCTGTCTTCACCGACGTCCAGTGTCAGCGCCCCACCGGATTTCTGCAGGGCGAAAGAAAGAGGCCGTTGGCGGCGTCACTGCATGCGCTCGGCTGCATCAAGGGTTCTTTCTCGGTTTCTCGGTATGGTGCCTGGAATGTGTCTTTTGACTGATGTGTTTAGCGTTCCTTTCCACCCATGCGTCAAAACTGGTCCCGAGGTGGCAACAAAGGAGTTCACAAAAGCCGGAGCGTTTTGCTGTCAGATGTCGCGATCCTGACAGTTGGTTGTAAAAGTTCCGGCGAAAAGCAGGAGCAAAGTATCACGGCATTCCAAGTTTCCGTGAACTCTGAAGCTGGAGAGCGACCCACGTCAAGACGGCCATCTGCGACCTTCGCCACCCCCTGCTGTGACACTGCAAGGATACTTTTTGCAAACTCTTTAAACTGGTCTCTCCTCTGATAATTATTGCCGGCAAAACTATCAAGGCCAAATGAACCAGAAAACAGTTAATTACAGAGATAATTAACGTACCTCACTTAATTAGTCGACTTACCGTAAATTAAGGTTATCCACTCACCTAATGTGCGCTCAGCGTGAAAAATAGGTGGCGAGAATGGCATCCGTGTGCCATTCTCACGATAACTCTCACCTCTCTTTTGTATCAGAAAAAAAAAAGTTTGGTATAAAATTAAGCATTTTGTGTATTGTCTCGCCAAACTCCAGTCTCTGCTAAATCTCGAATTTGCATAACAAAAAAGTCGGACTATGGCTGTCTATCATATACACTATATTAACCGCAGTTTTACTTAGAAAATATCACTGCAAGGGAACATTTGTTATATCAACGCTACCGCGTCTTCAATGTCAAGCATTGGAGAGCTGCTTTCCCCTTCGCGCGCAGGTGCGCTGCGGCGAAGCAAGATACACAACGCCGCGTCAATTCAGTGCACAGGTGCGCGGTGATAAACGCACTCAACAAAGCTAACTAACCTGCCAAAACAGACTACGAACGTGAATAATGATGCGGGGCTTCATAGTATTACAGTAGGCTCGCGATAATTCAAACTCGGATATTTCGTACTTCCAGTTAATTCAAACAGATCTGAAAATTTTGGTTGTCCCGCTATGTTTTTATTGTATTTATAAAGCCGCTTAATTCGAACGGCGTTTTCGCTTAATTCATACTTTTTTGTTCTCGCGGCCCCGTTGAGCGCGCTTTTTTTTTTTGAGTACCGGTGCACCGCAGAGAAGCAATACCCGCGGAGCTTGCTTTCGCGCGTACTGCTTCTCCGCAGTGCACCGGTGCTCAAAAAGAAGCGCACTCAACGGGGCTCAAGCGGGCTCGCATTAGCGGAAAACTGCGTTCACATTATGTGCTTCAAGACAAGCAATGATGACCAAGACGACATCGAGGATGAGGAGCAGCCGACTGGCATCATGCTTTCTGGCCTTGAAGCACATAATGTGAACGCCTAGCTGGCGGAATATGCTAATCTTGACGACGATGTGTGTGTTTGTCGTGATGACTCATTAGAGGACATAGTACAGGAAGTAATGCCAGCACAGTGCAGCAGTGAGAGTAAAGATGACGATGAAGAAAGGGATGACCCTCTATCAACTGCCACATCCGCAGAAGCCTTTGAGCACATCGCTCAGCTGCGGAAGTTTCTGTCTGCAAAGGAAGAGTCCCGTAAAGAGCTACTTGTGGAAATCTCATGTGCTGACAAACAGTCCACAATCGACAACGTTTTTACCATCACATCACATCATAACATTACAGTTCTTTCACCAATGTGTTATGGCTGTACTTGCTTATAATTAGGCCTATGTAGAAAAAACTGGCAAAAATTTGCTTTGCCCTATTGAAAAAGGCCAATATGAACTCGGCTTATTGGAAATATTGTACTCCAATGAAGATGATGGAAACCAATAAAAACCTATTGTTATCCGATTAACCCAATACGCACGATGGGAATTCATATCGGAGCACAATATCTTGATATAGTATGCGGTTATTGGTATACAACAGGATATTGGAGCACAATATCGCGATATAACTTGCGGTTATTGGTATACAACACGATATCGATCGGAGCACAATACCCCGATATACTACACGGTTATTGGAATAGAATACGACATCGCGTGCATATTGGTGACCGACATGGACATACTGTACGGCCACACGATATAGAAATATTGGTCGTCGATCATGGGACCAAAGGAGAATACAATATGATATCGCGTGCATATATCTCAGAACGCGGGTACCAAGTTACCAACATGCATTACGTTGGCATATCCACACGGCAATACGCGAAAAATATATTGGGCGTGGATACACACATAACATAAACGTTCTGCGTTGCGAACACATTAACATTGATCGACAGTGCAAGTATGTACAGCTGTTAGTACAGTACACACAGCCTCGCGCGCTTGAAACTAGACAACCACCAAACCATTCAGAATAACTAGCCGGAACACCCGCCGCGACCTACCTTTTAATGAGTAAGCCCAATAACGACGTGCTCATTGGAGTGATCGTTTTCCAGCAAATGTTTATTGCAGTTGTAATGCAACAAAAGTTGATCGCCAAACGATAAACCCAACGTACCGGGATACAATTCGATGTTGCAACACACCATCGCAATACAACAAGAAACTATCGGTGTTGGGACACGACCACCACATCGAAGTTACCGACGGTGAGAAATACACCATCATGACACGATATACTAGTTACCGGTGTTGGGACCGAAATCGAACGCGATACGTGACAATGTCGGTTCACACGATAAAATAATGACGGTGAATAGGTTTGACAGGTCACGTGCATGTAGTTGCTTCTTACGCGCACATTTATCGATATTGACCCACCTTTCTGGGTAATCCTACGTGGTACACAAAATCCACGACGACATGCGAGCACATTTCACCCACCACTTTTCGTCGCCTGTTTCGCGAGATTCACACACTGTCCAAAAAATGACGTGAAAAATACGTGCACTTGCGCCATCAAACGATACGTTACAGCCTCGTTTCTCGACAAGACAGTTTCCACCGCCAACACGCGCGCGCGCGCGCGCGCAAGCAGTTTGGACAGTTTGGACTTCGAACTGTTCGAACTTCGAAGGGAGCGAGCCCGGCTGGCCCGGCGGCGCGATGCCGGCGTGCTGGCGAGCCGCCAAGACGAGCAACGAGCATGCTGAGCATGCGCAGTGCGCAGCCGCGCAGCGGGCGGGCGTCGGTTGCGCCACTGTCACCACCACTGCTGTGTGTTGCGCGACCCGGCCAGCCTGGCCAGCCGGCGTGATTGGCGTTCGTCGCACTCTGTACTCGTGGGCATCGAGCGAAACCTACACACTTTCAATTGCTTCGAAAGGTACGTATACACGACTCTATTACTTGCAGCATTGAGTGCTTTGGCGTACGCGGATCAAAGCAAACACCGAAGGACACAAAGGAGACGTGAAGTTTTTAAATCGAGGCCTCTTTGAACGCCTGTGTCCCCTGTTGAAAGCACCTAGCTGTGCTCTGTTGCAGGCGTCATTTCGACTGCGTGTGCTCCAATGTAACGTCAGTCACTGGTCACACTTGGCTAGCTTTGCCAGTTTTTTATCTGATGTGCGAAATAGACGTAGAAACCAGCGCCGCGTCTCTTTCGGATACTCAGACTCCAGCCCCCTTACTTCCGGCGTGCTTTCTGCCGCGCCCGTTCGGCGCATTGTCTTCGCGGGCGCGTTAGGCTCGTTCGAAGAGGCGTCGTTTGAAGCTGACGAGTCGCCGAAGTGCACCGGAGCTTCTCTTTAGGAAAGTCGCAATCGACGCTCGGCGGCTCGGCTCTGAGCTCGTACTTTTCTCCTCCCGGGTATACATTGAGTGCCGATGAACGAATTTGAAAAAGCGCTAGCGAGTGACTTTGTGACGCCGCCCAACTGTCCTTATATCAACGGCGCAAAGCAAATGATGTACAGAAAAAAAAAACAAAAAGAAACCGTTTTTTATATTTTGTTGGCCATGTTTCACCTCAACACAAAGTGAATCGCGGCTGTACGTCGGTTGACTCATTACTGTGCCTAGATTGTAACGGAACCTTTTTGGTGTGATCTTATTCTGATATCGTTATATCTCGCCTTTTCATCTTGGCTGCACACCTCTAGACGACATTCTACACATTGCACTCCTTGTCGACATGTCGCTGGTGCTTGAGACTAATTGGAAGTCACTGTTTGCTCACTCCTTGGTGCACACATTTTATGTTCATCATCAGTTATTTGAAGGAGGCTCCATGAAACCCTGGAATTTGTTTAGAGGTACCTCTACATACTGTGTTAGAGTGCTGTTTTGTGCGTTGTAGGTTCGCGCAAAACCAAATTGCACCTTGTAATATACCCTTTGACTGTTTACTACAATTAAAGTTGCAATGAAACATTGGCCACGAGAGGTGACTCTGCCAACGTGGCCAACAAATTCCCCACATAATTTTCTCCATGGGTCATTTTGGATGTTGACAAATTTTCTTGTAAATAATGAGTGTTATGCACATATGTTTCTTCTACTTTTCAGACAGGTACTTCAGTTAGATAAACCCCAGCAAAAGCAGCAAGAGAGTCTCGTAGGGTCACACCAAGGATAACGGCATTCCTGCTCGAGTCCCGGGTCTTCTCACCGTACTTCACTGAGCATAATGGTGCATTCCCTTTCCTTAACTTTGTGGGAGCCAAGGGTGAAAGACGACGCAGAGGGCACGTGACAGGCAGTCGGCGGAGAAAGAAGTCACGAGCTGGCGCGAGACAGTGCGTGCTGAGCGAGGCTGGAGCTGGGCAGGAACATCGGAGCCGGGCTGCCTGGCTTGGAGCGGTCCACCAGCGAGGTTCAAACCGGACCGGTAGAAACGGCGAGTCCTGGCCATCTAGCCTAGGCCACGACGATCCCGGGGTGGTTCCGCAGCGAGACTCGGGCAGTGATAGCCCGGGACAGCCAGCCTACGCAGCGCTGGCATGGGAAGGACGATCCGCAGGCCTGGACACTGACTCCGACTGTGAGCTCTGATCGAC